TGAAGGATGAGGATAGAAAGGTGGTATTTAACAGTATCATAACAATAAAGAGATATAAAGTCACTCCTTCAGGAGATAAACTCAAGGACAACATGTCTTCTGAGAAGTCAGCACTCCAGATTACTAGGCGATGTCCTCAAGGGTGGGATTCCATCCAGGGTGGATTGCTTTCTCATTTCCTCAGCTAGTAAAGGTAAAGGTAAAGGCCCTCCCGTTGATCGTCGATTTGCTCGAGCGGGCCCAGTAACGTCTCCATTGGAGACTTTGTTGTTACTGTGTTTGGCATATCGAATACTCTCGGTAGAATGTTAAATTTTTCCATTTGATTTATTATCAGTACATTTTTATTTGTATGCCTATTTTATTTTTTTAGTATGGTGGAATCCTTACTCTTCTTTCTCCTTCCTTCATCCCTCCCTCCTTCCTTCCTTCCTCCCTTCATCCCTCCCTCCCTCCTTCCTTCCCTCCCTCCCTCCCTCCTTCCCTCCCTCCTTCCCTCCTTCCTTCCTTCCTTCCTTCCTTCCTTCTTTCCCGCCTTCCTTCCTTCCTTCCCTCCTTCCTTCCCTCCTTCCTTCCCTCCTTCCTTCCTTCCTTCCTTCCTTCCTTCCTTCCTTCCTTCCTTCCCTCCCTCCTTCCCTCCCTCCTTCCTTTCTTCCTTCCCTCCCTCCTTCCCTCCTTCCTTCCTTCCTTCCTTCCTTCCTTCCTTCTTTCTTTCTTTCTTTCTTTCTTTCTTTCTTTCTTAAATAAAATCACTGAGATGAACAGTTACAAAATTGCCCATGGTTGGGTTTTAGTCACACAAAACCACCACTTCACCAGTGTACATTTCCTAGCACAAATGTCCCCAATTTGTCTCCATCCACTACTCTACCCTCAGTCTGGGTCTACTGCAGACACTTTTTTTCTCTATCTCTATGTCTCGCTTTCCTCTTAGTCATTGAGGACAGCTACTATAAGGTTATCATGTATATCCCTTTACCTACTTTTATTATTCAATTCTTGTTCAGAGTAATCATTTCCAACTGTCATTGTCATGGTGATTTCTTCTCTGTCCTAACTAACCTCTTTCCCTTCTCCCCACCTTTGACAAGCTTTCAATGATGGACCAGTTCTCCTTGCCCCCATTTCTTTGTCCATGGCTTATAGTCTAATACTATATATTTGTTATATCCCAAAAATAAGTGCAGTAATTATTTGTCCCATTACTTCTGACTCACTTCACTCAGCATGATATGTTCGGTATCCATCCATTTATAAGCAAATTTTATGACTTTATTTTCCCAAGAGCTGTGTAACATGCCTTTGTGTAGATGTATCTTGGTATCTTTAACCAGTTGTCTGTTCTTGGGCATTCAGGTTGTTTTCAGATACTGGTTGTTTTGAATAGTGCAGCAATGAACATAGAAGTGCAGATGGCCTTTCTGCTGTGTGGTTTTATTTTTGTCTCCGAGGTTATATTCCCAGAACTGGTGTTGCTGAGTCATATGGAAGCTCAATTTCTAATTTTGTGAGAAATGATCATACAGTTTTCCAAAAGGTCTGGACCAGTCAGCATTATCACCAAAAATGAAAGAGAGTAGCTTTCTCCCCGCATCCCCACCAGCACTGGTTGTTCTTTTTTTGGGATATGTACCAATCTCCATGGTGTAAGATGATATCTCACTATTGTTTTGATTCTAATCTCCCTGATGATTAGTGATGTGGAGTATTATTCCCATGTGCCTATTGGCCATGTGTATTTCTTTTTTTTTTTTTTTGAGGACGTTTCTGTTCATTTCTCCTTCCCTATTTTCATGGGGTTGGAATTTTTTCTTGAAAAGTTCTACCAGTGCCTTGTCCAATAGATTGGATATATAATACCCTCTGGCTGTCTTTGTATCTTGGTCAGTGTTACATTTGAGATGCAGCAGCTTCTTAGTTTAATGTAGTCCCATTTGCTAATCTTTGCTTCCACTTTCTTGGTCAATGGTGTTTCATCTTTGAAGATACCTTTAGCTTCAAAGTCAAGGAGATTTCTGCCCTTATTTTCCTCAGTAAATCTTATATATTCAGGCCTCATATTGAGGACTTTAATCCATTTTGATCTGACTTTTGTTCACGACATAAGAAAGAGGATTGACTACATTTTGTTTTGTAGCTAGCTGCTCAGTTTTCCCAGAACCACTTGTTAAAGAGGCTTTCCTTGCTCCACTTCATTACCTGCTCCATTATCAAATATTAAATGATCATAAAGTTGAGCGTCTGTTCCATGATATTCAACTCTAGTCAGCAGATCTGTGGGTCCGTCTTTATTCCAATACCATGGTGTTTTAATTACTACTGCTTTGAAGTAAAGTTTGAAGTTGGGGAAGGTGATACCTTCCATATTCTTTTACCCAAGAATTGCTTTAACTATTCATGAAGCTTTATAGTTCATATGAATTTCAAGAGTGTTTGAGTTATTTCTCTAAAAAAAGTCATAGGTATCCTTATAAAGACTGTATTGAATCTAATATCACTTGGGGGACTATCACTATTTTGATGATGTTAAACCTCTTGGTCCATGAGAAGAAGATATATCTTCATTTCCTTGTGTCCTCTTAGTTAGGATGATTCCGAGGTACTTGATTTTCTGAGGCACAATCGTGAATAGGATTGTTTTTTTAATATCTCTTTCTTCCCTTTCATTATTTGTATATGAGGAAACCCATGAATTTTTAAGTATTGACTTTGTATCGGGCTACTTTGAAACTCAAACCTGTAATTTCTAGGATTTTTGCTGTAGAGCCTTAGGAATTTTCTAAGTATAGTATCATCTGCTAATAGTGAAAGATTGACATTTTCCTTTTCTATCTGGATGCCCTTGATATCAATTTCTTGCATAATTGCTGTGACAAGAACTTCAAATACTATATTGAATAGGAGTGGTGAGGGTGAGCACCTTTGTCTTGTGCCTGATCTTAGAGGAAAGGCTTTTAGTTCTTCCCCATTTAATAAAATGCTTGCTGTAGGCTTCTGATAAATGACTTTGACTATGAGGAAAGTTCTTTCAACTTCCATTTTATTGGGAGATCCAGTGGGTACTGGATCTTGTAAAATGCTTTCTCTGCATCTATTGATATAATCATATGGATTTATCTTTTCTTTTATTGATAGGGTGAATTATGTTGATTGACTTGCAAATGTTAAACCATCCTTATATCCCTAGGATGAATACTACATTGTCATAGTGTATTATCTTTTGCTGAATTGTTGGATTCTATTTGCTAGTATTTTGTTCAGGACTTTTACATTTGTGTTCAATAGGGATATCAGCCTCTAGTTTTCTTTTTTTTGTGGTATCTCTGTCTGCTTTTGTTATCAGGGATGTTTGCTTCATATAAACTGTTTGGGAGTATTTCTGTTTCTTCAATTTCCTGGAAAATCTTCAAAAGGATTGGTAGTAGGTCCTCTTTAAAGGTTTGGAAGAATTCACTAATGAATTTATCTAGGCCAGGGCTTTGCATTTTGAGCAGACTTTTGATTACTGTTTCATTTTCCTCATTAGAGATAGATCTGTTCAGGTATGCAAAACCTTGGTTCAGCCTTGGGAACTTACAGGAATCCAGGAATTTATCCATTTCTTCAAGGTTCTCTTATTTCATGGCATAAACATTTTCCAAGTAATCACTGAAGAACCCTTAACTTCTGTGGCTTCTGTTGTGATGTCCCACTTTCTTGCTAGTGGTTTATTGATCTCAGTGGTTCATATTTTCTCAGTGAACCATTTCTTGGTTTTGTTGATGTTTTCAATTGTTTGGGGGGATTCCAGCTCGCAAATTTCTACTCTAAGTTTTATTATTTCCTTCATCCTGCCTTGTTGGGACTCCTATTGTTGGTCACTGTCCAAGATCTTAAGCTATACTTCAAGTTATTTATGTGGGCTTGTTCTTCCTTTCTGATGAATGCTTTCCCAGCTATAAACTTTTCTCCTAATATTGCTTTTGCTTGTCCCACAAGTTCTGGTAGCTTGTGTCCTCATTCTCATTTATTTCCAGAAATCTTTAGATTTCCTCCTTGATTTCCCCTCTAACCCACTGGTTGTTCAGTAGCAAGTGTTTAATTTCAAAGTGTTTGATCTGGTTTTCTGGTTCTGTGTATGATTAACTTCTATTATCAGTGCATTATCATCTGAAAGATAGTTGATATGACTTGTATCTTCTTGATTTTATGGAGGTATGTTTTTTGAGAGAGCATGTGATCTATGTTGGAGAATTTCCCATGTGCCCAAAAATATGTACTTTGATTTGGGGAATAAAATGTGTGTATATATATATATATATATGTGTGTGTGTGTGTGTGTGTGTATACACTAAAATATATATACACTAAACACTTCTCTTTAATTTTCCTTCAAAGCCAGTATTTCTTTGATAAGTTTAGTCATTGATCTGTCAAGAGGTGACAAAGTTGTGTTCAAGTCTCCAACTATTATTGTGTTGTTACCAATGTCCTCCTTGAAGTCTACTCAAAGTTGCTTTGAGTATTTTTCCGGTCCCTCATTGGGTGCATAAATGTTTAGGAGTGTAATTTCTTCCTGATGTACATATCTCGTGATTATTAAGAAATGGCCATTGCTGTCCTTTCTAATCTTTTTCAGCCTTGAATCTATGTCACTAGATTCTACTATGGCCACCCCAGTCCTTTTGAAGGAGTTATTTGCTAAAGAATTATTTTCTAACCTTCAAGTTTGAGTCTGTGTTTGCTCTGACTATTCAAATATAGCACTGTAGCACAACTGTAGCACTGTCCTCCCATTGTTCATTTGCTCGAGTGGGCCCAGTAACGTCTCCGTTGTGAGACTTGGTGTTACTGTGTTTGGCACATCGAATATATCACAGGGAGCTTGCCAGTCTTTGCCACGTGGGTGAGATACTCTTGGTATCTTGCTGGACTCTCCAAAGGGGCAGAGGAATCGAACCCGGTTCGGCAGGGCCTACAGCGCACAATGCAAACGCCATACTGCTGTGCTATCACTCCAGCCCAATTCGGCCTTTTGGCTAAGATCAAGTGTAGTATCTGTTCTTATTCAAATACATTTCTTGCAAACAGCAGGAGGTTGGATTCAGTTTTTTAAAATTCATTTTGCTACCCTGTGTCTCTTAATTGACTAGTTTCAATCACTGACATTGAGAGAGACTATTGTCATGGATTTTATGCCATCTCTCTATAAAAGTTTGTTGTGTTTATAGGATTTGTTTTCCCTTACAATAGCTCCTTCCATCTTTCTTTTAAAGTTGGTTTTGAGTCTATGAAGTTACTGAGCTGTTATTTATCCATGAAGTTGTTTTTTTTTCTCTTTTTTTGTAGGAGTACTGCTATTTATTCAGCCACTGATTAGCTGATTGAATTGTGCATGAACTCCACCTTACTTTTTTTTCCTCTTTCCATTTTTTATAATTTTATTTATTGAATCACCGTGAGAGCAGCTACAAAGCTTTTGGGTCTAAGTCACAATCATACAGTGAAACACCCGTACCTTCACCAGTGCCCATTCTCCACTACCAAAAATCCCAGTATACCCCCATCCCACACCCTCCCCCTGCCTGTGGGGCAGATGATTTTCTACATTACTCTCTCTCTACTTTGATCACATTCACTATTTCGACACCAGACCCACCATTATTTAAGATTTTACCCCAACACTCAGATCTGCTGAAAAGGCAACAATAGACAATTTGTGTTCTATTGCTGGTTATGACTAACATATGATGTCGTGTGGCTGCAGTAGGGTCATGTGGTCTTGAAATTCTGAAATTTTAACACTTAAATCTGGAGGGATTTCTGCCAAAAGTCACTGGGTTTAGAGATCTGCTCCTGAGTCTCTGGGATCATGGCCATTGAGCAGCTTGATGAGGAGCCAAAGAGGCCATTCGTGGGCGATGACTTGGAGTCTCATTGGGGTGGGGAGGACAGGCCCGGCTCCACCTCCCCCCCATCCCGTGAGACCCAACAATTTTCGTCACTGCGGGCCCAAGCCTGACTGTCCAATGGTCTCTGGAGGATGACAGCCACCAAGTCACCAAGAGGGAGCAGGCGGAGGGACAGCACCCATTCCCCCCTGGGGTGACCCGGTGACAGTAACCTACTGCGGGGTCCAGACACATTTCTGACAAAAGCCGCTGGGTTTCAAGATTTGTTTCTGAGTCTGTGGGATCAAGGCCGCTGAGCAGCTTGATGAGGAGCCAGAGAGGCCGTTTGTGGGTGATGACTTGGGGTCTCGTTAGGGTGGGGAGGACAGGCCAGGCTCCACCTCCCCCCACATCCCATGAGACCCAACAAGTTTCGTCACTGCGGGTCCAAGCCTGACTGTCCAATGGCCTCTAGAGGATGACAGCCACCAAGTCGCCAAGAGGGAGCAGGCGGAGGGACAACACACGTTCCTCCCTGGGGTGGCTCGGCAACAGTAACGTACTATGGAGTCCAGATGCATTTCTGCCAAACGCCACTGGGTTTTGAGATTTGTTTCTGAGTCTCTGGGATCATGGCCGTTAAGCAGCTTGATCAGGAGTCAGAGAGGCCATTCGTGGGCGATGACTTGGGGTATCGTTGGGGTGGGGAGGACAAGCCCGGCTCCACCCTCATCCCGTGAGGCCCTGTGTGTCTCGTCACTGGGGGCCCAAATGTGACTATCCAGTGGCCTCAGATGGATGGCGGCCACTGTGCTTCCAGGGGGAACAGGCCAAGGCACGAAACCTATTCCCACCTGGGTTGGCCCAGCACCGGTTGCCTACTGCAGAGACCAGACGCATTTTTACCTAAAGCCACTGGGTTTTGAGATTCATTTCTGAGTCTCTGGGATCATGTCCATTAAGCAGTTCAATCAAGAACCAAAGAGGCCTTGCCTCCAATTATATAGCTGAGCCGGAGGTGGTTTGTGGGTGTGTTTCCCACATACCTAACTTTTGGCCGTTTACTTTCTTGGTAAACTTTGCCCCAAGTTTTTGGGGTCTGGCCAAAGGCACAGCAGCAATTTTGGGGTATCTGGAAGTCTGAAGGCACCATGAGGCTGCTGATGCACTTGCCTCACAGGTACAGATTGACCTGCTGGCGGCACCATACCCCCTCCATGAAGTTGTTTACTTTAAATGTGAATAAGAGTCTAGTCAGGTAAAATATTATTGGTTAGGCATTCATTTCATTGAGTTTTTTCACAATATCCCACCACTGCCCTTGGGTCCAGAGGGTTTTGTCTGATAAGTCTACTATAAATCTAAGGGACACTCCTTTGTATGTAATTTCCTTCTTTGATCTTGCTGCTGCAGTTTTGTATATCTACGGTATTAATCATTCTGATTAGGATATATCATAGAGTCTTTCTATTAGGGTCTCTTTTAGCTGATACCCTTGAGCTTTCTTGGACCTGGATGCCTGCGATTTCCATCTCTGGGAAATTGTCACAATGATGTCTTTAATTGTTACCACCTCATTGGGGTTTCCTCCCTGTCCCTCTGGAATTCTGATGATTTCTATGTTGTTCCTCTTGAATTCATCCCATAGTTCTTTTGCCTGCCCTTGCCTTGAGAATTAAGCCTGAGAGAGAACTTCAGATGTGGCTAATGACTCATAAAATTTAGAGGTATAAAATTCAGAGGAAGTATGTCTGTTGATAAGAAACAAGACAGTCTAGAGACAAAGAATGATTTACCCTGCTTCAACTTTAAATAATTATCTGGTGGACTTCTGGTTGCAGCCACAATTGATTTACTTCCATAAGATTAGCCGTCTCACTGAAAACTGAGAAACTCCCCACAATAAAAAAATAAGAAAAGATATAAATTGATTTTTCAGTGCTACACTAGAATTTGAGATGAGAGGACCGAATCAAAGAAAGTAAAAATGTTGTAAAGCTCTTTGTCCTTAGCAAAATTCAGTCATTATTATTGAATAAATGCTTTGGGTATTGCTGAGGCTGTACTGAATTTAACAGAGAAGCTGATAATGATAATTTCGACACTTATTGCTTTTCAGAAAATTTTTAAGTCTTCATTTTTGTTGATATTGCTCAAAGATTCAGATTAAAACCCAGATTTTCTTACTCCTTGACCTATTCTTTTTCTATTACATGTGTGGTCATCAAATTTTATGCTTATCAAAACCATACGGAGGCATGCAAAAGTAAAGATTGATTGTCTTACATTTATAAGTTTGATTACAATCTGAGGTTGGAATTACCTGATAATTTCCATTGAAATAAAGTTCCCAGGTAATGCTGATGCTATTGCTTTCAGCATCAAGCTTTAATAATGACTGTATCATATCATGTGCTATCTTCAGCCTTTATAATTGCTTCCTATGGCTGAAATAGATAATACATTAGCTAATAAATACCTATTATTTTCTCTTTATCTATGTAATAATAAAATATATAAGCTAATTTGTATTTGGTATTTACTATATCTAGTTACATGGCATTGAATTTTTTAGTTTAATTTTACTCCTATTTAAATAGGAATTCTTGGCCAGAAAGGTTTGTCTAGTGGCATACAGCTATAATGCAGGTACTATATTAGAATATGGCTTGAGAGCACAATCTCTCAGTATTAGTGTTGCCCCAGAATAACTTAGGTTCCTCTGATGCCTCGAATGACTTCAGTTGGAATGGCATGCAGGACGAGAATTCACTCACATGGTTAGAGAGTAATTACCACTTGGCTCTATTTTTCCCTACTCTTCGATTGCTTCATAGTAAACATGCCATTTGTATTCTTTGTTTTTACAATCTTCTAATGCTGAGGAAACTCCACTTTTTTAGCTGGGGTTTGTTTAGGCTCAGAAACTTTATAGTATATAATAGTTTCTAGAAAAACTATTATACTGTGTTTCGTATTCATTTTTTTTAGTTGCATTCGATTTAGGATAAATGAAAAATCTGAATCGTTTTCCATTTATAATACTTAAAAAATTTTCCCACAAGGAAATTGAAAAATGTAATTGTTTAAAGGAAATAAAAAATGTAATTGTTTAAAGGAAATAAAAAATAAAAAATGTAATTGTTTAAAGGAAATAAAAAAAAACCTAAAGAACATTGCAGTGGTATACACAGCAATAGGAAGAAAAAAATACACAATCTTCGGAGATACTGACCTCAACAGACTATATAACAGTGAGATTAACATGCAGCATTGTGGAGAGAAATTGGGGAAATGTGATGACATTGTGAATTCTCTTTCGCATAAAAGGAGTTGAATGGGGGGAAAGTCACATGTGCAAAGAAATAATTAGTGGAAATTATTTTTACACGAGAAACAGAGAAGTGGGGTGAGATTTAAGATTTGTTTTCACAGAAGGCCCAGCACATTCACATAACTTAAATTTCAGGCTTGAATGATTTGTTTCCCCCAAAGAGCAAAAATCAAAACTAAACAAAAGACCACACCAAAAAAAGCAGTGTGGGCATCTCGTGAGACCTGGCAGCGGCCAGGGACGGGCCCGTGTTCAGTGGGTGGAAGGGGTGCGGCCACCGACGGGAGGAAGGGCCTGTGGTCGGCAAGCTGGCCGCAAGTGCGACTTCGCACCGCTGACGCCAGAGCTCCGCTGCGCCGGTCACATGCGGCGGGAAAGGCGTCCAGGGCCCGCAGCTGGGCAGCGAGCCGCCTGGAGCTGCAAACCCCAGGCTCCGGGCAGACTCAGCAGGCCGCGGGGTTGCATGCCGGCTGCTCGGAGACCTTGTCCATGGGGCTCGCCGGCCTCCAAGCAGGCGTGCCCTTCCCCCGCGGCGCCCCAGCCACAGGCTGCCCACGGCTGCCGCGCCCCCAGCACACGTTGCAGCGCGCAGGGACACAGGGCGGGCCGCGCGACGGGGGCGGGGCGAGGCGCGCGTGCTTCCGCTCCCCAGCCAATCGCGGCAGTCCCCGAGGGAACTGGGCGGGGCCTGGCTCTCAGGCCGCTTTAGTAGTTTGCCCTTGCGCTGCCACGTCCCAACCCGTGACGTAACCCACTGCTCGGGTTTCGATTGGCTAAGGAGGCGTTTCCGCAGGGGTTCTTTGCGTCGATTGGTTCATGCGGGCTCGGGGGCGTGGCCCGCATCCCCTCCGGTATCCGCCGCGGCGCAAGAGGCGGGCCGCGCCGCCGCCGCCTCTGCTTCCGCCGCCGCCGCCGCCGCCGCCGCCGCCGCCGCCGCGCGTTGGGCGGGGAGGAGCCGGAGGCGGAGAAGGAGGCGGTGGTGGCGGCTGGGTCCCGCGCTGGACGTCCCGAAGCCCCTGGACATTCCGGTGAGGGGCTTTTTCGTCTTCCACCCCCTCGACTCTGGTGTGTTCTGCTCGGACCTGTGCGGGTCGGGCCGAGGAGCTCGCTGCCGCCCACCCCGGGCCAGGGCCGACCCGCCGGCGCCGGCCTGTCCCTCGCGGGCGCCGGCCCTGGGGGTGGGCTCGGTGCCCCTGGCCTGCCCTCCCGGCCACCCGGTTCCGCGCCGTCCCTGCTGGCTGGACGCCACAGCACCGCCCGTTCCCCTTCCCTGCATTCCCACCCGAACTGCCGCAGCCGCCGCTCTGCGGGTGACCCGGCTGGCCGTGGGGCTGGTCGCGCACCCACCTCGGCCCAGCCTGCAGCCCTCCCGGGCCTGCCTGCACCCGGGGCCCTGCCTGCACCCCGCCCGACACTGCCTGCACCTGGGGCTCTGCCTGCACCCCGGGCCGTGCCTGCACCCCGGCCAGCACTGCCTGCACCTTTTCCCGGGCCCTGTCTGCACTTCGGCCCGCCCCCTGCCTGCATTCCACCCGGGCCTGCCTGCACCCCGCCTCTGCCCTGCCTGCACCCGGGCCTGCACTGCTTACACCCCGACCCGGGCTCTGAGTGCACCTTGGCCTGGACCCTGCGTGCACCCGGCCCTGGCCCTGTGTGCACCCCGGCCCGGTCCTGCTGTGCGCCACGGCCCGGATCATGCATGTATCTCTCACTCCGGACCCTGGCCCTCTGTGCACCCCGATCCCTAATTCTGCCCCTGCCTGCAGCTCGGCCCTTCCTGCACCCAGTCCTGGGCCCTGCCTGCACCCAGGCACACACACCTCCCATCCTCCTTAGCCGCTGGTCTCTGCTCTGAGTCATTTTTGCTCACATAAGAAATTGAGTTAAAAGCCACTCACTCCAAGTTGAATGAAAGAGGAGGAGTATATAGCCTGTCCGTCCGTCCGTCCTTCCTTCCTTCCTTCCTTCCTTCCTTCCTTCCTTCCTTCCTTCCTTCCTTCCTTCCTCCCTTCCTCCCTCCCTCCCTCCCTCCCTCCCTTCCCTTCCCTTCCCTTCCCTTCCCTCCCCTTCCCTTCCCTTCCCTTCCCTTCCCTTCCCTTCCCTTCCCTTCCCTTCCCTTCCCTTCCCTCCCTTCCCTCCCTCCCTCCTCTCCATCCCCCTTTCCTCCCCTTCCCCTTCTTTCTTCCCCTCAGGAAGGACCAGTAATCTGTTTAGGAACTTTCCCTCTGCAGCATGCGTTATGTTTCTATTTTTAGTCTGTAGAGACACAGTTCTCCATTACCGGGTCGTGAAGTTTTCTGTTCTTTCTTTTTTTTAAAAACTCTATTTCTATTTTTATCATGAATTCTTTGATCCAGTTTCTCAAAAATGGCATCACCTCTGTGCAAGACTGCAGATCATGCCACGACAAAGTTAGTAACTTGAAGATAGCGTCAATAAGTGGTCTAACATCCCCCCCCCCAAATTTTGTGATTGCCTTTTGGAATCTATGTAATTTTTCTATGAAATGGCTGTTTCATTTTTTGAAAGTTAATTGCGGAGCTGCAAGCTTGTGTAAAACTCCGCGGTGCCAAAAAAGTAGTGGAGGCAGAGGTGAAGGTACCGCAGCTTGGGTGCATGCAGCATCAGGACTCAGGAAAGGGTTCCTGCGCATCTGTTCAGCGTGTACGGGGTACGGTTTCATGTGCATCTGTCCGGCGTATATAGGTTCATACATACCTGTCCAGCCTGTACGGGTTCGTGCTCAAATGTCCAGATGTACGGGTTCCTGTGCGTCTCTCTGGCATGTACGGTTTCCTGCGAGTCTCTCTGGCATGTACGGGTTCCTGTGCATCTTTCTGGTGTGTACGGGTTCCTGTGCGTCTTTGTGGCATGTACGGGTTCCTGCACGTCTGTCCAGCATGTACGGGGTCCTGCGTGTCTTTCCAGCATTGTCCGGGCTTGCATGCATCTCTCCCGCATGTAAGGGTTCGTGTGTATCTGTCCAGCGTGTACGTGTCTCTGCGCATCTCTCCAGCCTGTACTCATCTGCGCCGTGTTTGGTAGGGCTGCATTCAGGACCTTGGGCATCAGACATTGATTTGCCACGTGCTTTTCCGCTTAATTACATATCTTGTACATCTTGACTTGTCCTAAATAGATCTCCCTGATGTTCTGCAAAGGCCCCGTTAAGTTGGATGGGCTGTTTGCTTAGCCATTCCCTGGAAAAGGTTTAAACTCGTTGCAGTTTCTTTTTGCTGCCACAAATTATACTTTTGTTGAAGCCGACTTCCGAATTTGTTCATTAGTTCTTAATTACAAACTTTCGATCATCCTGTACTTAAAAAATCCAAACGGTATAGAGGAAGGTAAAACATGAGACTGTCCACTTTCCCAGCCCTCCAGCTTGGCTCCTTAGGCCAATTACTGCCCAAAAAACTTTTTGTCTTTTTGTGGCTGTTCTGGGGTGTGGATACCTAGCAATGGAATTGTTGGTTTAAGGGGCATGCGTATTTAACATTTTGACCATCATTTCTCCCTGTTTATTACTTTCTACAAAGTTGTGCTTAACTTCGTGTTTCTTCTTCAGTCTTCTCCAGATAAACTTTAGACTTAAATAAAAATCCCTAGATATTTCAGATCAATTTATGTTGGACTTTTAGGTTAATTTGGAGATAACTTATTTATGATAAGAAGTTTCTCAAACATGTAAGTGTCCAAACTTTATGTTCATCATGCATTGCTTTATATTTTTAGAGAAGATTTTATGCTTTATATTTTTGGTTTACTTTCTTATCTTACGGCATTCCTTCTTCATATTTATAGCCGTTTTATGGTTTGATCGAACCGTGACTGGAAACTTTCAATGACAAGTTTTTCTTTTTTCTAATTTTGGTTATAGGAAAGTTTTGAGTTTTCTCTTGTGTATGTAGTAACCTCCTCCCCTCTCGGAGAGCCCGGCAAGCTACTGAGAGTGTCTTGCCTGCATGGCAAAGCCTGGCAAGCTACCCCTGACATATTTGTATATGCCAAACACAGAAACAAGAAATCTCGCAATGGAGATGTTACTGGGCCTGCTTGAGCAAATTGATGAACAACAGGAGGACAGTGACAGTGACAGTATGTAGTAACCGGTTTATGGAATTGACTATTTACAGATACTTAGTTTTGTTGCTTTACTTCTAATTTTAGGGATTTTTTTTTTTTTACTTCTAATTTTTAAAACTTGTTTTCATCATTACTTTGGCCAATATATATCCTATGTTATGTTGAAAATAGGAATGATACCTCAAAACTTGGTGGTGCTTCTTTTAGAGCAGAGTCTCCAGAGTTTTAGTATCAATTATGATGTTTAGTGATAGGGAATATGACTTTAAAGTATTGGCTTTCCAAAGTGACGTTATTGTTTTTTTATTTCTGTTGGCATTTAAAAAGTATAAAGCAATAAGGTAGAGGGCTGTGTTAAATACTATCTATTTTTTACATGTTCTAGATAACTAGGCATCATGAGTGAGTGAATTCTTTAGTTTGTATTTCCTAAGGAGAGCTCCTTTTAAGGAATTAATGTTATTGAGGATAATTGACATGGATTTTTAAAAAATAAACAAGTTGTGCTTTATGTATACACTTATGTCACTACTATACCATTATCAAGCCTGGCAAGCTCCCCATGACGTATTCCATATGCCAAACACAGTAACAACAAGTCTTACAATGGAGACGTTACTGGACCTGCTCGAGCAAATCGATGAACAACAGGAGGACAGCGCTATAGTGCAGTGCTACCATTATCAAGAGTAATATATTTTCCTTGCACAATCAATAATCTTTACATTGAAATATACAAATGCATCTCCCAAACTTCCTGTCTACACTTTTTCACAGTTTTTACCTTTAGTCTCTGTAAACCACTTGTCTTTTTTTTTCCCTTATAAATTCATTTCATTTCTTCAAGAATTTCATACATATGACTTTTTTTCTTCTAAGCATGGTGTTCTTGAGGACCATCTGTATTTTTGCATTTGAAATGGTTTCTGTCTTAGCTAAGTTGATTTGCACAGTTTTTTGACCATTCCCTATTCACAAATACTTGCACTGCTATTAGTAAAGCTACTGTGAGCATTCATGAGATTTTTGGGCACATTCTAGAAACTGAGATTGTCAGTTGTATGTATAGTAAGTGAATCTACCAGACTTTTCCCATTTTACAGATACAATTGCTCTATATCTTTAGCATCTCTTAGTTATCTCAGTCTTTTTCATTTAAATGCCTTTAGTAGGTATAGAGTCCTCAGACCATGATTGTAATTTACCTTTATCTGATTACTGTTTCTCTGAAAATGTACTTGTGTTTATTTGCTTGTTTTCTTTGTGATTTTCTTTTTTTTTTGGTGCTCATTTTAGGCCATTATATTGTGATTTATAAGAAATGTATACAATGCTCATACAGGTACATCATAAGTATATTGTATTCTGACGTTTTCCATTTTCCTAACTTTTTAAAAAGGAGTAACTTTGCTTTTTGTTTAAGTTGAATTTGCACATTTTAAAATTTCATGATGTACCTCTAAACTTGCTGAAGGCATAATTGAGTTATTTCTGAGGTTTTCTTCTCTAAGAAATTGACATTTATATCAAGAAATACTGTTCATTGGGATTGTTTCTGTATTTGGTGTGAGATAGACTGAAGGCTCATCTCCTTACTCTAGCACCTTTTGTTGGAAACAGTTTTCTCTATTGAGTGAAACATTGAAAATCAGTCAGTTCACCACTAATATGAGTCTATTCTGGATAATTCTTTGACCTTTTTATAGTTTAACAGCTTGTGATCTTTGTTTTATAATAAACCTTAAAGTCATTTAATGAGTGCTCTAATTTATGTTTTTTCATAATAATTTTGGCTATTCTAATTTCTTTGCCTTTTTATAATTTTTTAGAGGTCATTTGCAGGTTTCTACAGAAATATCAAGAGGATGTTAATTTGAAGTTTATTTTATTTTATTTTTAGATCAGTGTTGTTTTGATGTCAGTCACTCCACCTTCACTACCA